CAAAAAAAAAAAAAAAAAAAAACGCAAGAAAAGCAAGAAAACACGTGGTTAGTGTCCCAAAGCCATAATTGTGCTTCGGTGAAGATAGGAAATCAATCAGTAGAACATTGAGACCAGTCTTTTTTATATTTCAACTTCTGGCTGATGACAACAGCGCCAATCATTCACCTCTAATGAATGATGCAAAATTTGCTTTTCTGGGTGGTTTTGTGTTGGTTGCTTTATTGTTTTGCCCACTTTTGTTTTCATTATTTTTTTATTTTACACTGGCTTTTAATCATATATTTGTAGATTCTTGTGTTGCATGCGCATTGATTGTTTTTTGACCGAGTTGCACAGTAACGATGTTTGTCTTTGGCCATTGGATGTCTATTGGTAAGCTTTTGAATAACATTCAATATTCATTATTACTTACAACCATTTTTTCATTCTTGTGGTCGATTAGCTCATTCATGTTTGTTGCATCTGTTTATTTTTAGACCGTGACTGACAATTTCTGCATTTTTATTTATATTGTGATATAACAAGCATTTACGCATACACAGACATGGTATTGTTCAAATAAGATGAATTTGTCAGCATGTGATGCTGTTGAGTATTTCTTCGTGTCCTGTTTTATTCACACTGCTGAAGAACTGGTCCACTTCAATTCTACGGTGTAGTATAAATGTGTGTACACACGCAATGTATATTACTTGTTATGTACTCATCGTAACTATGCATAGATATTTTTTTATTAGACCCAGTAGTACCACATTCGCCTAAGAGTACAGCCAGTAATGATAACCTTGTATGATCTAGAATAATACATTTCAAGCTACAGTAGACTCTCGATAATTCACTCTGATAATTCATACTTTTGGTTAATTCAAACAAAATTCAATTTTTAGGTTGGCCCTCCATTCTTTGAATGTATTTAAAAGCCTCTTAATTCACACTCCATCATTCAGTTAATTCATACTTTTTGTGGTTCTATACGAGAAAATATGTACTGCTTTCCCACTATTTAAAAATTTGGGTGCTTATATAATCCTAAGTCTAAAACGAAAAACAAGCGTCTTAGGCCTTCCAGGAAGAAGGCTTTCCTTGTAAAATAATGTTTGAAACGAAGCACATGCATGGTAAACCTTGATGCTTTTCAACTGCTATAAGAGACCTTTGTGCTGAAGCTAAGAAGCAGTTGTCAATTCACAATTTCTTTAAGGGGTCTGATCAGCAGTAAATGGCCAATAAACTTGTGGGCCTTAAACCTCTTCCTTATGTTCATTGTGTCCAGTTAGGGTTTGAAATTGCTAAAAAGGGTTTTATATGCGATAAAATCAATGCCTCATTTTTATGTGTGGGGCCACCTCACCCACAGTCATATATCTGAGAACTTATGATAATTCAAACAAAATTCAGAGGTCCCTTCGAGTTCGAATTAACGAGAGTCGACTGTAGTTGGTTGTTCATACCGAGGCGAAAACAGTGGGGATTGACGAGAACGGACAGGCACAAGGAAAGGAAAAATTGAAAATGAGGAGCTGTTCTATTTACACAGTGGGGCTCGAAAAGTTGAAGCAAGCTCACTATCATCACTACAGTGGTGAAATAGCACTGAACATTGTATCGATTAGTCTGTAAAAGAAAGAAAAGGTTTAGTGCTGTCAACTACACGTCCTGTTACTGCAGCGGCTGTGTGGAGAAGCATTCATCCACACAACAGCCGCTTAAAACATCACCCGTCCTGCTTAAATCAGTCACAGCAGTAATTTATTCCGCAACACACAGCAAAGTTGCACATAACTTGGACATACTCGCAAAACAGCAACGCATCATAGCTGCGCCAGTTCACTCTGCTGGAAAGCCTCATGTGACGCTGCGAGCTGTGCCGCGCCGCCTATCTGCGAGGAATCGAAGTGCGTCACTCTCCACGTCTCAGTGGGCACACTGCCTCATTCTAGTACACTGCATTTCCAGCGCAGCAGCCATGCCATTATAAACTGGCTTGTAGCACAGAGAAGTGCAGGACAAACAGAAAGGCCACCTTTCAACAATAAAATTTTGTTTTCGGGATTGGTCAAAGGTTGCGATGGGTTTGAATTGTTGACTTTGCAGTTTCCACTTGACATAATGACAATGTCTTCAAGTATTGTGTTGCAGACATGTTTTGCAGTGAAATGCTAAAAAACCGTCGCATGAAACACTTTTAACTTTCTTGTTCTCTCAGCTTGTGGTTATGCATCTGCCGGTCTAGCCTATGCAATTATTTCAGAGTGCGGGCAAATAACAACAACAACAACAATAATAATAATAATAATAATAATAATAATAATAATAATAATAATAATGCACCATCATCGATAGCGCGTCGTCACATGTAGACGTCATTTCAGGAGTGCCTCAAGGCTCTGTCCTGGGACCGCTTCTCTTTTTGATTTATATCAATGATCTTGCTGAATGCGTGGACAGTCAAGTGGGGTTGTACGCAGATGACTGCTGCATATATCGTGAAATTAAGTGCACGCAAGATTCCGAACAACTGCAGAAAGACCTTGACTCGGTAATAGCATGGTGCAGTACGTGGAAAATGCAGCTTAACGTGTCAAAGTGCTGTGTTGTTAGGTTTACCAAGAAGAAGCAGCCTTTTATCACAAATTACTTCATGGAAATGGAAAGGATACCTTTATCCATGGCAAATGAATACAAGTATCTTGGCGTTGTCATCAACAGCACACTATCGTGGAATGATCATGTTCTCATGGTATCGGTTAAAGCCAGTCGCGTGCTGAACTTCCTACGCCGCAATTTTAGAACCGCCCCTTCTGTTCTTAAACAAGTTTTTTACGTGTCAAATGTACGCCCGATTTTAAAATATGCTTGCACTGCCTGGGACCCGGCCACAAAGTTAAATATTGATGCATTGGAGTGCATTCAGAAACGTGCCGCCCGGTTTGTGACGGGTGATTACAACTTCACCAGAAGGTCTAGCGAAATTGTTAGTTCACTTGGTTGGCCTCAAGGCGTAGATATATCAGGCTATGTCTTTTCTACAACCTAATAAACGACAAAACTGGGATCGATAAAAACAAATACATCAGACCACCAACATACATCTCATTACGACTGGACCATCCTTTGAAAGTGTGTGAATATATGTGCCGAACATCAACGTATGCGAATACTTTTTTTCCTAAAACTATTCACGAATGGAACAGTCTTCCAAAAAACATGGTGACTGCCCCTTCCACAGCATTTCCTTCCCCTTTAAAGGAGTATGTGGTCACAGAATGATATTGTATGCTGTGATTTAGGTATTTTTGATTTGTTCTTATTTTTTTAGTGCCGTGCAATTCAACTTGTCCCCACTGATTTAAATGTACTTTGAATTTGTAAACCCCTCTACAACAATGCCCCCAGAGGGTGCTGTAGATATAAGTATAAATAAATAAATGTGAATGTGAAAGCCTTCTTTGTGTGCCATTATTTGCAAAATGAAAAGCAGTTCACACTGGCATGTGGTATCGCATGCATATGTATAACCAATCTTGGAAATAGTTTCATAGTTAACACTTGCATTTGTTCTGTATTTCTTTGTCCTTGTTTGTTTCTGCACTATGCCACAAGCGATTTTACAGTTAACCAATAGCTTATATTGGTACCCTTCTCACGCTATTAGCATAGCAATCGCCATGTCACTGTATCTAGAACAATGCACAGGCAAAGGAAACGGGCAATGGAAAAAACTCACTACTACTAACCTCAAATACACATTTTTTTGTGCTTGGAAGCCATAGGGTAAAAGCAGGAAGTATCGCTATGGGGTTCTGAAGGTACTCGGCACTTTTTTATGACACTTGTTTATGTGCATAGTATAAAAACAGCAGACAAAGCAGACTTCTCAGTTTTAGGGGCGAAGCTCCTTAGGGCGTGGGCTGTGCGTCCCCTGTAGCCTGTATGTAGCCACCTCTAGTTTAGTTCTTGCAGTGTTCACTAGATGGCGGTACCGTCCCCTGTATGTAGCCACCTCTAGTTTAGTTCTTGCAGTGTTCACTAGATGACGGTACCGTCTCCTGTATGTAGCCACCTCTCGTTTAGTTCTTGTAGTGTTTACTAGATGGTGGTACTTGTAGCTGATGATGAAAAGATGCAAGATGTTATAAACTAGAAAGCGGTACTTGTAGTTGATGAAAGACGCGAGATCTTATAAAATAGGCATGATGTCACATATGGCGCGTGTCATTGGTTGAAGGCAATCGTTCGATTTAGTGCGGCGACGTACGCTAGGGGGAGCGATGTAATAAAATCGAGTGGGCAAAATGTACAGAGGATTCATGGTTTACCAGGTTTACCTCCAGAGCTTCGCCCACTCATCATCATTCACTTCGTGAATATGGCGGAATTTTTTTAATTCAAGGGAGGATGCTTAAACTGCTTCAACAACAGAGTCTGACACTTATATGGGGGCAGCTTGCAAACTAACAGAAAAGAGAAGGGAGGCAAGAGAACCTTTTGCAGAAACATCAGACCTGCGTGAAAGCCAGAGATGAAATAGCAGCAGCTCTCTTGGGTTCTGAAGTGGCAGTGATCGTTCGTGTTTCAACGTTGTCTATTTGGTCTTCAATGAAAAAGCACGCAAAACATAAACAAATTCTTGTAATCTATCAGATTTGGTGTTGCATTTATTCAAACATGGGTTGCGCTCTTCGTCATTTCCGCCTGCAGTAGTTCTTGCGTCCCATTAATCATTGATGTGATTGGCAGTGATTTGGTAACTTTGTTTTGCTGTTGGTGCTTTTACGTACGCTAAAATTATCCTTTGCCATCAGTCTATGCAAACCACAAATAAAGTGTGGGTGCTTTAAAAGTTTTCAGAAAGGCCCCTTAGCACCCATATTTGTATTAGTATCAAGTACCTTGTGACAAGTAGTGCAGTGCAGTGAGTAGATATCTAACTCACGTTTGTTTTTATTATATAGATTCATTCTGATTTATTTGGGGTGTCTTTTTTTTTTTTTCAGCTTTGTGGATGAATACGACCCAACAATAGGTGAGCAAATAGCTTTTATGTCTTCTGGTTTGCTATATTGATATTTAACTGTGCCTTCTATTGGAGGGTGTTGCATGCTTTTTTAAAGGCTGTAACAGCGCAGCAGTGTATTCACTGTCCTCGTGTTCTGACAGTGTGTGTTTGTTACTTGCCTAACCTAGACGATATCAGACCATTTCATCGTTGGACGATATCATAACCTTGACGATAACTAGACTAAATGGTTATGAACCAAGATTGTTCTGCGCTCAGTAAACTCAAAGTGTACTCACAGGACTTTCTTTAATGACTTTGATGTTTTTTTGTAAAAATAGAAATAATGGCAGTTCCTCATCAGGAGCTGTGACAATGATTGCACAAAAAACTGTTGCATGTCAGCACGTGGCCCTACAAAGCTCTCTCGACGTGTGGCTTTTTTAGCCATCCTATCCAATCATTTAGTAACTACTTGCTCCATCTGCATATCTCCTGACAAGCTGTTTGACAAAATAGGGTTCGAAAAGCTAGTTAATCAACTTCGAAACTGTATGTTATAATTAGAAATTTTTATGGTCGCTATACCTCATGGGGTGATACTAGATGTGATGCGAGAGTGCGTCACAGAAAATTTTCTGCTCTCATCTGGAGCCTGTCTGTTCAATAAAGCAGATCCAACATACTACAATACTGCATGCATAGATTTAGCCATTGGTCACAGTCACTTTTACCTTACCTATATTGGAAAGTTATTAATAATTCGTATGGAAGGGACCATTTTCTAGCTCTTTCAGAAACAAGATTGTGGGATGACAGACCAGCTTCCCCTAAAAAGTGGAACTTTCATGGTGCAAGCTAGAATAAGTATAGACAGCTATGCACGCTATGCCTCGCAGAGATGAATCAGATAGACTTAGAAGAGGTGGCTAGCTAATATGTGAATATATCTTCTCCTGTGCTAAAAGTGCATGCCTTGGTCTACTGCTAATCAAGTGAACAGGTGAACTATCTTATGGTCTACTGCTAATCAAGTGAACAGGTGAAAACAGGTGAACTATCTTATGGAAAAGCATAGCTTAAAGAAGCATAGCTTAGCCTGAGTATGCTTCAGGCAGGGCAAGCTTCAGATATAATCAATCACTATCACCCCATGAACTGAACCTTGCCCTTGGTTCCTGTGGAAGTTCTGCTCCTGGCTTGGACACGATTATTTACGAAATTATCGGGAATCTGCTCCAGGAAACCTTAAACTGCCTTATAGCTCTTAACAACAGGATTTTCGATACTGCAAGATATCCTCTGCTTGGATAAAGGCAATAGCTCCTACGAATCTTCAAATAGGGCAGAGATCCTTCCTCGGTAAATGCTTACAGGCCTATTGCACTCGCAAGCTGCCTGGTATAGTATTCAAATATGTATTCAAATATGGTAGGCAGGGTATGCACAGGTTCTTAAACCCTTCAATACCCTTAAAAATAGTCTGTTATCAAGGCCCTTAAAAACATCGAATTTTTAAGCAGTCCCTGATAAACCTTAAATTTCTTGAATGCTAAATCTGAATTGCTGTTATGACAAAAATGGTTTACGTTGCTGAACTTCGTTTTTTCTATTAGTTCTGTAATGCAGTCAACAAACCGTACGAATTTAGCCAACCCTTGTTAGGCGGCTGGAAACGTTTGACTTGATCTCAAAGGCAGCGTTCACTGCACACGTTGTGTCAATGACTGAAAACGTGACAGTCTGTGCTAGCTGAAGTGTATCGGCTGCGAGCGCTATCACTATTGCATGTCCGTCGGACTTGGCGTCCACGTTTGTGCGTGGTCTTTAACTTAGTCGTGTCTTAGTGCTGCCAGTGCTTTTTTGAGTGAGCTTGCCTTCTAACACGTTAGTGCAAGTGATGTGTTGATATGTGAAAGAATGTCCCGAAAAAGCAAATTTCAGACTTGGCTTCATCATAGCGACTGCAAGCACTGAATTGCTCCTGACAGATGAATCCGCATCGGGCTAAGTGCAAGTTTTGCGGCAAAACCGTTGATGCGACTGCCATGGGTGAATTCGCTTCAAGAAAAAAAAAAAAAAAAAAACTGCCAAGGCTGCGCTGAAGGCGCAGCAGCACTGTCAAAGTGAAAACTAGAAGGGCGGCCTTTAAGAGTCTTTTTTTTTTAACACTCCTCTGGTAGCTGTTGCGAGAACACTTGCAAGGTACCCACTATGCCATTAATCATTGTGTAATAGGCAGGCATTCACTGTGCCATCCTTCGTCATTTTTCGGAAAAGCGTGGTATCTGCTAAACACTTGCAAGGAATTTCTTGCGAATTATACTTTTCATGCAGTGGCTGACGACAATGAAGAAATATGCCTGAAGTGGGTATATGCCACAGTTAATAAATGATGAACAAGCTTTTGTAATGGGTTGGATGGAGCATTGGACGACCCACTCATTACGCAATTGTATTGTGCGACGCCTGCTGTTCCTGTGATGTTAGAAAACGTTTTATACTCATATTAGCGTGTTTTGTGAACATCAAGCTTGCCTATCGAGTTCGCAGAAGAGTCCCAAGCACCGGGGTGGCTCACACTGGGCTGGCATGCAGCGGACCCGGGTTCCAATCCCACTATGTCCCTAATGTAGTAGAATACTGGGCTGGCATGCAGTGGACCCGGGTTCGAAACCCAGTATGTTCATGGTGTATTTTATTCAGGATATTTTTTTTATCTTGTTGGAAAGTAGTTACAAACACTGGCCGCGGCGTATAACCATAGCGCTGCGCGTGACCCGTGTTGTAATCTCGTAACAGCTTTCGCTGTAAGAAGTCGCTCAGTAAGTGCCAAGCATATTGGCGCGGTCAAGATGTACAAGGGAGTGCGTTCCTTTCCTTGTTATATGTATATGATATGTATATTGCATTGTGATACGTATGAATGGCTAGCTGTGAGAAGTTGCTTCATGAGGATTTTTGTGCGTTCGAAGAAAGGTTTTACATTGTGGCATGGCTGACAGCAGAAAACTGGTGGTGGATTTTCTTATTCACAGAAAGATAGCTGGTAAAATGGTAGAATACATTAGCATTGATGAAAGGTGGTACAGGCCTACGCGCCTACATCCAGCCATGATGACGTATTAGTTGAAAGCTTCTATGAAGCTTGATAAGACAGATGCTTCGGCTAGTTGGAGATTTGATATCAAGATATCTGCACACCGCAAGAAAACCAGTAGTTGCGGCATAACTATGGAACGAACAAACATGGACGGGAAAGAGCACTCTTCTCTGTCCATGCCTCTTTCTTCCGTAGTTACGCCGTAACTACGCGTTTTCTGGCGCTGTGAAAATATGTCTGCTTCTAAGAAGCCGTGGAATCGACAAGGAGCAAGGTAAAAACACTGTATATTATATTGATGCCCGACTTCAATGTCGAAGTACGAAAAAAGATGGCTGGGGACCACGCACTAGGGGATTATGGCATCAGTACTAGAAATGCCAGAGGGGAGTTATTGGTAGAATTCGCAAAGGGCAATAATTTATCGATCTTGAATACCTTCCACCGAAAACGAGTGAATTTTAAGTGTACATTGCAAATGCATACCTGCCAAGTCTCTCAGATTGGCCAGGAGACTCCCGGGTTAGGACCGTTTCTTCCGTTTGTACGTTGTCCGTTTGTATGGTTGTCATGGAAACCTCCCGGACATTGATATTTTTGTGCGGGATCCAGCCGTGTTGACAAAAAAGCAGCTCAATCCACTCCAGGCTTTTCGAACCTACCCCATTTTATTATGAATGAGTTTAAGAGGCGTTCTTTTAATAAACGTACAGTAGAATCTCAGTGATGCGAAAGCCTGGCAGATACGAATTCGTAAAATTTCTCAGCGAAATTTTACGTCTATTGGGCCTAAATTCGAATGTTCCAAACACATTTCCTAATCGCAGTGGGTAATACGAACTTAGTACGAAAATTGTTGAACGAAGGCCGAGAGTAGTGTACTCGAAAACAAAAAGTAACATTTTCGCCGAAAGGGTGAAGCAATGAATACGACAGCAACAACTTGGAATGTCACACTGAGAACGGCAAGCAGATCGAAATGCGCAGTGCACTGCTCACGCGCAAATGGCGCACGAAAACAATACACACATGACGAGAGCGAACTAACAGTGTCTACCACTCGACACGTAACGCACTGTTTAAACAAAAAAAAAAAATTGATGCACGATACGTAATCAAAGGTACGGATGAGTACAAACTAACAAGTGTCCCAGTTATACCTTGCTGTGTACTGTTACGTTTGGCCCGGCAATTCGTCTGGGCAGGTGCCATTGTGCGTAAGCCGATCTGCTAGGGAGGCTTTCAACCTCATGGGCGCGCAGTCTGCAAGATGCTGACCTGTAGATGTTCCAGGAAACAGTAGGGTCTCAATGAAAGCTTCGAGAGACAAGCCTTTTGTTGACCGGGCTTGAACAGTGGGGGAACGACGCCACTGTGGCAGGTTTCATTAAGTCAACCTCTTGACTCAGCTTTTGTCATCTACACGAGGCCATCTCAACGCACCGGCAGCCCGGAAGTGTGGGAAGGCGCCGAAGAAGCCGTTCACCGGGATCGAGTGTTTGGACTGCCTGAACCTGAAAGCAGTATGGACCGCTGCTGACGTTCGGGTAAACGCTCCTTTCCCCGGAGGAGCTCAACTTTTCCTCTCCGGACTCTACCTCCTCGCCCTGCGGTGCCTTCAAGGTGTGGGCTGGGTGTGTCTTTGTGTGGCGCGTTCCTGTTACCATTGGGCCGTTTCGCCCAGCCGAGTGGTGAATATCTGCACGCTTTGTTGGACCACAAAGACTTTGTCCCCTGCTTTGTGGCAAGAGTGATGACCGCCTCCTTCGTACGGCGGTGACGGCAGGCTATAAAAGCCGAAGCATTCTTGTAAATGATGCGGAATCATGAGCTCATTCATGGGCTGACTTATGAACTGAATCTCTGTTGTACATATTGCGAGATCTTCTGGATCCCTGTACAGTTCCTATCTTTTTTCTATAAT